CATGATAACAAACATTTATTCAGTCATTATTTTTTAACATCTTCTCCCAAGTGTGATATTTTGTACAACTGGCCTATAAATACATATCTCATCATCACGTCAATTATACAGGTTGGTAGTGGGATTAAAGTCAAACAATTTCCCTTGACATGTTTAAACACAACTGGGTCGGCATTCACAGTCTCAGAGTAGGAGTGCCGATCTAGGATCGGGTTTTGCCTTTCAGATCATAATGAATACGTTTACATGGACAAGGAAGGACCAGGATTCTTGATCAGCACTCTTACTCTAAGACACGTTTGTGGTTCCTGATTCTTTCAGTGGAGTGAATAGAGATACTGGTTAATGATAAGACTTCTGTAGAAATAATACCTCCAGCGTTACATATACACCTAATGCATATAGCATCATTAGGCACAGTCTGAACATGACATCAGTCATATACAAGACTCTACATGCTGTACAATGGACTTCAGTATAATACATTCTCCTCCTCATACTGTACCAAATGGTGAGTGTGGTCAAAGATGACGTGTGCGTCCCAAATCGCACCCTATTCCCGATATAGTGAAACTATTTTTGACCAAAAGCCCTACGCACTACTATAGGCCTAAGGGCCCTGGTTGAAAGTAGTGCACTCCATAGGGAATAGGGTGCCATTTGAGACACAAACAATGTCCAAAAATCAAAAGAAAGAAGGATGTTCAGGCATTCCAAGCTGATCCCAGATCTGTGGATGCCAAACTAGCCTGATCCCAGATCTGTGGATGCCAAGCTAGCCTGATCCCAGATCTGTGGATGCCAAGCTAGCCTGATCCCAGATCTGTGGATGCCAAGCTAGCCTGATCCCAGATCTGTGGATGCCAAGCTAGCCTGATCCCAGATCTGTGGATGCCAAGCTAGCCTGATCCCAGATCTGTGGATGCCAAGCTAGCCTGATCCCAGATCTGTGCTCATGTCAACTCCACAGCTGTCATTAAGCCATGACAGTAAGTGACAAGAAGCTGGCATGATAACACAAACAGGCAGCCGGCCAAGCAGGCTACGTACAAGCAGAGCATTATGCAAATGAAGCAAAAACAGTTGAGCCAGATACAGTAATACCGTAGTATAGATCAAATCAAATCAAATTGTATATGTCACATGCGTCGAATACAACAGGTGTAGACCTTACAATACAGTAATACTGTAGTATAGATAGAGTAATACTGTAGTATAGATAGAGTAATACTGTAGTATAGATACAGTAATACTATAGTATAGATACAATCAGTTGGAATGAATCCCCCCAGCCCCTCACATGTGCCTCCCTCTCTCTCACTTCTCTCTGTAGCGGATCAGCATTATTGGGCGGAGGGAGGGAGGAATGGAGAATTGGAAGGAGGGATGGAGTGAGGAAGGAAGGAAGGAGGGAGGGGAGGGAAGAATCCAATTGAGGAGTCACAAAACCGTGGTGTCAGCACAGACACCTTATCGTTTGTCCTCCCAGCAGTGTAGAGGGGAGGGAGAGGAGAGCAGTGGTGTAGAGGGGAGGGGAGAGCAGAGCAGCGGTGTAGATTGGAGGGGAGAGCAGTGGTGTAGACGGGAGGGGAGAGAGAGGAGAGCAGTGGTGTAGATTGGAGGGGAGAGCAGTGGTGTAGACGGGAGGGGAGAGAGAGGAGAGCAGTGGTGTAGATTGGAGGGGAGAGCAGTGGTGTAGACGGGAGGGGAGAGAGAGGAGAGCAGTGGTGTAGCGGGGAGGGGAGAGCAGCAGTGTAGAGGGAGAGAGAGCAGCGGTGTAGAGGGGAGGGGAGAGCAGCGGTGTAGATTGGAGGGGAGAGCAGTGGTGTAGACGGGAGGGGAGAGCAGTGGTGTAGACGGGAGGGAGAGCAGGTGGTTGTAGAGGGAGGGGGAGAAGAGAGGAGAGCAGTGGTGTAGATTGGAGGGGAGAGCAGTGGTGTAGACGGGAGGGGAGAGAGAGGAGAGCAGTGGTGTAGCGGGGAGGGGAGAGCAGCAGTGTAGAGGGGAGGGGAGAGAGAGGAGAGCAGTGGTGTAGCGGGGAGGGGAGAGCAGCGGTGTAGAGGGGAGGGGAGAGAGAGGAGAGCAGCGGTGTAGAGGGGAGGGGAGAGCAGCAGTGTAGAGGGGAGAGAGGAGAGCAGCGGTGTAGAGGGGAGGGGAGAGAGAGGAGAGCATTGGTGTTAGCGGGGAGGGGAGAGCAGCAGTGTAGAGGGGAGGGGTAGAGAGAGGAGAGCAGTGGTGTAGCGGGGAGGGGAGAGAGAGGAGAGCAGTGGTGTAGCGGGGAGGGGAGAGAGAGGAGAGCAGTGGTGTAGCGGGAGGGGAGAGCAGCAGTGTAGAGGGGAGAGAGAGCAGCGGTGTAGATTGGAGGGGAGAGCAGTGGTGTAGACGGGAGGGGAGAGCAGTGGTGTAGACGGGAGGGGAGAGAGAGGAGAGCAGTGGTGTAGCGGGGAGGGGAGAGCAGCAGTGTAGAGGGGAGAGAGGAGAGCAGCGGTGTAGAGGGGAGGGGAGAGAGAGGAGAGCAGTGGTGTAGCGGGGAGGGGAGGGGAGAGCAGCAGTGTAGAGGGGAGGGGAGAGAGAGGAGAGCAGCGGTGTAGAGGGGAGGGGAGAGGAGCGGTGTAGATGGGAGGGGAGAGCAGCAGTGTAGAGGGGAGGGGAGAGAGAGGAGAGCAGTGGTGTAGCGGGGAGGGGAGAGCAGCAGTGTAGAGGGGAGGGGAGAGAGAGGAGAGCAGTGGTGTAGCGGGGAGGGGAGAGGAGCAGTGTAGAGGGGAGAGAGGAGAGCAGCGGTGTAGAGGGGAGGGGAGAGGAGCGGTGTAGAGGGGGGAGGAGAGCAGCGATGTAGAGGGGAGGGGAGAGAGAGGAGAGCAGTGGTGTAGCGGGGAGGGGAGAGCAGCAGTGTAGCGGGGAGAGAGAGCAGCGGTGTAGAGGGGAGAGGAGAGCAGCGGTCCACTCGTTCCTCCACTGTGCTTCTCGTGTCTTAAGACCCCGAATCAAGATATGTGTTCATTCACAGCTGACGAGCTGCCACCATAGCTACATTTAATTCACATTCACATCGTTACATTCATATTAAGCCTTTCTCAGCTCAAATCAATACAGTTTAATAAACAGCAGGAAGATGTACCTTATCGTTTGATAATTGGAACATCTGGAACCCTTTTAAGTCACATTGTCATTTTGTTTTATAACGTTTGATAATCTGACATTGATCAACCTCACAGTCAGTGCTGTATTTTGCACATTTCATCATGAGGATCATATCAGCTGTCAGTTCCTTTCTAATTTCACAATGCTAAAAATACCCGCTGTCAGTGTTCTGTTAACTGTCCGTTGAAGCTCAGTGTCTTCAGATTAGTTTGTTACTAAAATGTATCATTGTCAAAGAGACTTAGGCCTAGATTCAATCAGATAAAGCGTTAACCGGCGATAGCTCGACAACCGCATAGCTGATGTTTTGGCTGTGTCTGAGGCGTAATTACGTTGGAGCTGTCAAATCGGTGCAAGTGCTCTTGATCATTGTCACAAAGCCACACCCCTCACACTCACGTTAGAAGTTCAGAACGAGAAAGTCTAGGCTTTATGGAAATAATGAGGATTTCTATCAGCCTAATCCAGGTGTAGATTACATCTCACATTCGAAATTGTAAACAAGGCTGCAGCCAAATGGCAATGTCCGCTTTAGGTATAATGCCAGGAGCAGCTCCAAAGCAGTTCCACCTCCGACACCACCAAAACAACCGCTACGCGGACGACGGTTAAAGTGGATCTGATTGAATAGAGCCCTTACATTATTGCACATTTTTTATTAGCCTTTTTTACCGTATAAACTCTAATACTCCTTTTCAATGGTTTTACTATATAAACCCTAATAGAGTACCACAGTATGAGTCATAATACCCATAAAACCTAGCGGTCAAAGAGGGAAATGGTTCCAATCGTTTTTCCACCATTCATTTTTCCCATAGGGGATTATAGAAACACTTCAAATAAGGGCTGTGTTTTGTGTAGGCTTACCCTGGCATGACGTTTTGATAAGCATGTAAATCTCTCTGGGACAAGGTGACTTTTATCAATATATTTGCCTGTTTTTACCCCCCAAAATGAAATGCTAATTAGTTGCTAATGTGTCTATCATAAAGAACTACAAATGCCATGATGATCTGGACGAGACTGCCGAATCGAGGCAAAGGTAAGAATCTCTGGATTAACTATCTAATGTTAGCTAAATGTAGTAATGAATAAATTGGCTACATTTCTTTAAATGGACAATTCTGTGAACTGTCTTGCGCAAGTTTTAAATTGACACAATACCTGTTAGCAAAGGTGTCAGCTAGAGATGACGTGCAGGAGCCGGCAGGGATTTGTAGTTTGATGCTAATTAGCATTTTTGAATCTGAGATTAAATAGAGCTGAATATATTGATAAAAGTCACCTTGACCTAGAGAAATTTACACTGTTATCAAAACATCACGCCAGGGTAAGCCTACACGAAACACAGCCCTTATATTAAGGGTTTCTAAAATCCCCTATGGGAAAAATGAATGGTGGAAAAACGATTGGAACCATTTCCCTGTTTGACCGCTGGTTTTATGGGTATTATGACACCTCCACTGTGGGGCTCAATACTCCTTTTCAATGTTTTTACCGTATAAACCCTAATACTCATTTTCAATGTTTTTTTTCCTCCACCTCAAACTCAAATACACCTCCGCCTGTTAAAATGTGATTTCACAGTCTGTAAGATATCTTTACAAGTCCTGCAAGTCGCCAAACTTTCTTTCACCATGTCACAGTCCTCCATTGGTCGCTAGCTATACATTCAGAACGACTATGAGCATACCTCTGGCTCCTGTTAAACAACCTCTATTCATCCCCCAAAACATAGGAACTCATAGGTTTCTGACACATCAATGTAGAAACTCCCTTTGTTCTGGGGTTAGTTAGATATTGTTGTGCTTCATTGGGGGTTTCTGCAGTGGTGGAGCATCGTTGTGAGACTGTGGCCGTTAGGGTTTGGCCTCCTGCATCTGCTCTAGTGGAGGCTGCTGCCCTTCTTGTGGTGGCGATAGAGCTGGCTGTGAGTCTCTGTTCGGATTAGGATTCCCGTTCTCATTCTCATTCTGGTTCTCTTTCCGATCCTTCTCACTAGGCTGATTCAAAATGGCGGGTACGTCCTTACAACAGAAGTACTGCTTCCAGATCTTCAGGAAAGCGTCGCGGAACTTCTTGATGCGGAAGGCGTAGACGATGGGGTTGACGGCTGAGTTGCCGTGCGTGAGCAATATAGCGATGTAGATCAGGAACAGGGGTTTGTCGCAGGTCGGACAGAACAGCGTGACGCAGTTGATGATGTGGAGGGGAAGCCAGCTGATGGCAAACAGGAAGAGGACCAGGGCCAGCGACTTGGCCAGTTTGAGTTCCTTGTTGTAGTACTTGTTGGGGTCGGTGTGGCTGGTGGTGCAAGCCTGTAAGAAGAAAGATTACCTTCAATAACGTATTATTGAAATAAACAAATCATAATTTCTATAGCTTTTATAGCCATATACATATACTCAGGGGATCCATTTCCCCCTAGATAGATAATCTAGTAGCCTAGGTTCTAGTCTGTGTCACGCTCGTTGTAAACAGCGGACCAAGGCGCAGCGGGATATGCGTACATTCTTTATTTCTAGTACACAAACAAACAAAAACAACAAAACAAAACGATACGTGAAGTCCTGAGTTGAACACAAACCTTCCGGGAACAACGATCCCACAATAAACATGTGCCAACAGGCTGCCTAAGTATGGTCCCCAATCAGAGACAACGAGCTACAGCTGCCTCTGATTGGGAACCACCCTGGCCAACATAGAAATACACGAACTAGAACCAAAACATAGAAAATAACACATAGAACATCCACACCCTGGCTCAACATATAAGAGTCCCCCAGAGCCAGGGCGTGACAGTCTGTTTCTGTTTTTTTGCCAACTCCTTATGGAAGTCTCCTGTTTGGTATGGCAATGAGTGACAAGGAGTTGGCAAGATAGCACAAACAGAGGTGGGGCGAGGCTACATAGATGGGAGGAGGGGCGGTGGTCACCTCACCTTCTTGTTGAGCTGCTTGTGGATCATGTAGAAGATCTCTGTGTAGATGACCAGCATGAGGAGTAAAGGAGGCAGCACCTGTAGTGAAACATAGTCCAGTCCCGTGTTAGCTCCAGTACCGTGTTTTACCCCATGCACTAGTTGACCTACAGAGCTACTTAACAACAATGTATGTATCCCTGAAACGCTTTAGTTCAACAAACAACATCAGACGCCCTGACCTCAAGTCTTATGAACATGATACATTACACAAAGAGAGATGTTATATTACCCAGCCGATATACTACACAAAGAGAGATGTTATAATACCCAGTCGATATACTACATAAAGAGAGATGTTATAATACCCAGCCGATATACTACATAAAGAGAGGTGTTATAATACCCAGCCGATATACTACATAAAGAGAGATGTTATAATACCCAGCCGATATACTACATAAAGAGAGATGTTATAATACCCAGCCGATATACTACATAAAGAGAGATGTTATAATACCCAGCCGATATACTACATAAAGAGAGATGTTATATTACCCAGCCGATATACTACATAAAGAGAGATGTTATAATACCCAGCCGATATACTACATAAAGAGAGATGTTATATTACCCAGCCGATATACTACATAAAGAGAGATGTTATATTACCCAGCCGATATACTACATAAAGAGAGATGTTATATTACCCAGCCGATATACTACATAAAGAGAGATGTTATATTACCCAGCCGATATACTACATAAAGAGAGATGTTATAATACCCAGCCGATATACTACATAAAGAGAGATGTTATATTACCCAGCCGATATACTACATAAAGAGAGATGTTATAATACCCAGCCGAAGAAGTTGAAGTAGACCATATAGTCCATGCTGATTACGTTCTCAAACTGACAGGTGATGGTGAGATCCTCATTCATGGAACTGTTCTGCTGTAGCCTGCAGGGAGGAAGAGAAAGGGGGGGGGGGGGGTGAAGGGAGGGGGGGGGGGGGGGGGGGGGTGAAATGGGGGGGGGGGGTTGACGGGGAGCAAGAGATAGCGGGAGGTGTTATTTACTTGCGGGAGGTGTTATCTAATTGGGTATATTATAGATACATAGTATCAATAGCAGAACTAGAATAACTGAGTTATTTATAAATACATAATCGAAAGGACAATTGGGGAGCCTGAAATGGCAACCATATGGGGCCCTGTTCAGAAGTAGTGCACTATATAGGGAATAGGAAGCCATTTCGGACACAGATAATGTCACATCGCAATTAGAAAACAACACACAACTAATTTAAAATACATGGCCATCTACCTCCAGAGGTTGTTCCAGCCCAGCATGGGGGTCAAGCCCACGATGAAGGCCACGGTCCAGCACACCACCACCGCCACGGCCGCTCGCTGCTTTGTCACCACACGCTTATAGCTGTAGAGATAAAGAGAAACCAGGCGGTTAGGGAGTTAGTCACCTATACCATAACACAAGGAGTTAGTCACCTATATCATAACACAAGGAGTTAGTCAACTATGCCATAACACAAGGAGTTAGTTACCTATACCATAACACAAGGAGTTAGTTACCTATACCATAACACAAGGAGTTAGTCACCTATACCATAACACAAGGAGTTAGACACCTATATCATAACACAAGGAGTTAGTCACCTATACCATAACACAAGGAGTTAGTCACCTATACCATAACACAAGGAGTTAGTCACCTATACCATAACACAAGGAGTTAGACACCTATACCATAACACAAGGAGTTAGTTACCTATACCATAACACAAGGAGTTAGACACCTATACCATAACACAAGGAGTTAGTTACCTATACCATAACACAAGGAGTTAGACACCTATACCATAACACAAGGAGTTAGTCACCTATACCATAACACAAGGAGTTAGTTACCTATACCATAACACAAGGAGTTAGTTACCTATACCATAACACAAGGAGTTTGCTACCTATACCATAACACAAGGAGTTAGTCACCTATACCATAACACAAGGAGTTAGACACCTATAACATAACACAAGGAGTTAGTTACCTATACCATAACACAAGGAGTTAGTCACCTATACTATAACACACAGACTTAGTCACCTATAACATAACACATAGCTCCCATACAACTTTTCAACATAAAGAAAAATACAGAAGAAGTAGAACTATCCTCATTATATACCTTCTCTTTCATCCCTCCTTCCTCCAAGCACTGCCATCTTTTTATTTTCGCTCGAAGAGATGACGGTAACACACACACACACACACACACACACAGACACACACACACACACACACACACACACACACACACACACACACACACACACACAGACACACACCACACACAGGACACACACACACACACACACACAGACACACACACACACACACAGACACACACACACACAGACACACACAAAACACACACACACACTCTCTCTCACACACACACACACACACACACTCTCTCTCACACACACACACACACTCTCATGATCTAGCGTAGATTAATAAACAATGTAAATGGTTTCTTATCATATGTACCAAATGATTCACATTGCCTGTTGTGTCCTCCTGTGTTACTCTGTCCATGTGCATATGTCACGCCCTGACCTATAGAACTCTAGTTAGTTTGGTCAGGGCGTGCATGTTTAGTATCCATGTTATGGTTTTTGCTCTGCAAGGGCCGCGTCTTTTGTGGAGCGACGGGTAACGGCGCTTCGAGGGTGACTGTTGTCGATGTGTGCAGAGGGTCCCTGGTTCGAGCCCAGGTAGGGGCGAGGAGAGGGACGGAAGCAACGCTGTTACATTCGTCTTCAACGTCCGTGACAGCATATCATGTGGATAGTGAGAGGTGATCCTCTCGTAAAGCTATATAGGCCCGTGTGTATTTTACAGGTCTGATTTAGATGTATGCATTATTAGGGTGTATTACACGTATGATGATGATGATGATGATGATGATGATGATGACTGTTTAATGATTTTAAAAGATCCAGAAATCCAGATTTATATCCAATATTGACACTAAATTGTCCATTATGGACCGTTCCTTTTTGTCCTTTGGTCATTCAGAACAACTACTGTGGAACCATTGATTGATTTATAATTGGAAATAGTTAAATTATAGTCCTGCCTAATTTGAAGTGTTATTTTCTGTAGAAGTGTTAAAGGTGTTGTGAAAGAGGCGATGGCAGGTGTGAGCTAACTGATAACTTGACAAGGTTTAATAATAGACGAAGACATCAAAGACAGTAATGAGATTCAGCTATGCCACTGCCAGGAGGAGTCAAAAGTGCATGGACAAATATGGCCAATCCGCGCTCTCTCTCAATCTCTATCTCTCTTCTCTTCTCTATATCTTGGACAATCTCCTCTCTACACTCTCTTCTCTCTTCTCTATCTCTTCTGCTCTCTCTCTCTCTCTCTCTCACTCTCTCTACCTATCGCTCTGAATTACGCATGACATGGACAAATTCCCGTATTCTTCTCTTTTTTCTTTCTTTCTTTCTATTGTCTCTCTCTCTCTCTCTGGGCGATTTCGTTCTTGCTCTCGCTCTGCTCGCGCGGATCGCTATCTTACAGCCAGCTCGCTAGCTCTCTCTCTATATACTCACGCCTAGCTCTATCCTCGAGCTCTCTCCTATCTTTCTAGCAGGCGAAGTGACAAAGTAACAAGTATCTTTCTTGTCTTATCTCTCCTATCTATCTCTCTTCTATATCTCTCATCTAGGTATCTCTTCGCTCTCTCTGTATCTATGTCTCTCTCTCTCTACGCCTTCTCTATATCTATCTCTTATACTCTGCGCTTATTCTTCTCTCTCTCTTCTGTCATGACAAATTAACCATTCACAATCTCTCTCCAAAGTCAAAGTGGCTTCGTTAAAAAAAAGGATTGAAAGCGAGTATATCACTGTCTAACAATATTCAACAACAAATGGACCACATTCTGTGCTCCTCAGCCTCCTTCTGCTTCTCCTCAGCAGCATAGCCCCAAGCGTTCTGTTTCCCTCTGAACATGGCAGCAGTAGCGGGTGTGTACATGAAACACAGCATGTGTCGTTTCTTTCACTGTCACAGACTCACTCATTCCACTGTAACACAAACCAATATCCTCATCTTTCAAAAAAGGAAAGCCGTCTCCAAACCGAAAGACGGCAAAAAAACAAAAAAAAATGTGTAATGCATAGGTGCTCTTTTATTAATTAAATAAGCTGACGCGTTTTGACCTCAAACGGTATTCTCCTCTAATATCTTTGAATAAGTCCCCTAGAAAATGGACAGGTACTGTAAGTTGAACAACAAAAAGCAGCACATTGGCAGCAGAGAAGAAGGGGTAAGACAGACAAAGATGTGATTTTTCTCCACACAGTCACAGCTTGTTAGTCTCCAATCCTTCCTTCACTGCATTCCCGAGGACATAACAGCTAATTAGAGCTGCTTGTATCAGCTCTGCTATGGTAAGCTGTCAATGTGTGTGTGTGTGTGTGTGTGTGTGTCTTCACACGTTTGTGTGTGTGCTTGTGTGTGTGCTTGCTTGCTTGCATGTGTGTGTGTTAAGCTGTCATGTCAATACCAGTATGTCAGACCCCTCCCCTCTAAATGCCTACAGGGTACTGGCAGTGCTGGTAGGATATAGGGCTTCCTAGTGAAATAAGAAACAGAATCAATTCATGTCAGAGAGAGGAGTGTGTGGGGGTGGTGTTGGGTGTGGGTGTGTGTGTGTGGTGTGTGTGTGTGTGGGGGGGGGGGGGGGTGTGTGTGTGGGTGTGTGGAGGTGAGGTGATGTGAGGGAGTGAGTGAGGGAGGTGAGTGAGTGAGTGAGTGAGGGAGTGAGGGAGGAGGGGAGTGAGGGAGTAGTGAGTGAGTGAGGGAGTGAGTGCGGGGAGGGAGGGAGGAGGAGAGAGGGAGTGAGTGAGTGAGGGAATGTAGCAGGCGATAAGCAAGCACATGGAATGAAGAATGGGCGAGGAGACCACCATCATGAGACCACCATCAACTTCGGAAGCAGAGCGGACAGCAGGAGCCGCGGACACCGGGCAGCACCGCCGTCCGCCCCCGCCGCCGCAGCAGCAGCAGGACAACCGAGGCAATACCGCAGCCAGGCACAGAGGAGACCGCGGCAGAACGCCGCGCAGAAGCAGAAGGACAAACGCGGCAGCATCCGCCGCCGCAGCAGCAGCAGGGAACCCGCGGCAGCACCGCCGCCGCAGCAGCAGCAGGACACCGGCGGCAGCACCGCCGCCGCAGCAGCAGCAGGACACCGGGGAGCACCGCCGCGGCCGCGGCCGCAGAATGAGACACCAGCGGAGCACCGCCGGCCGCGCCGCCGGGCGCAGCAGCAGCAGGACAACCCGGGCAGCACCGGCCGCCGCCGGCCGCAGCGCCGGCAGCAGCGACACCCGCGGCAGCACCGCGCCGCAGCAGCAGAAGGACACACGCGGCAGCACAGCAGCGAAGCAGCAGCAGGACCACCGCGGCCACGACCGCCGCCGCAGAGCACAGGAGACCCGCGGCGCACGCCGCAGCAGCAGAGCAGGACCCGAGCAGGCACGCCGCCGCAAGCAGAGAAGGACACCCGGGGCAGCACCGCGCCGCAGAGCAGCAGGACACCAGCGGCAAGACAGCCGACGCCGCAGGACAGCCGCGAACTGGACCGCGGCGCAGGCAAGAAGCAGGACACCCGCGGCAGCACGCCGCCTCCGAAGGACAACCGCGGCACGACCGCACGCAGAAGCAGAGACCCGCGGCAGCACCGCCGCGCAGGCAGGAAGCACCAACACCAGGCGGCAGCCCGCCGCAGCCGCAGCAGCAGCAGGAACCAAGCGGCAGCACGCCGCCAGCAGAGCAGGACACCCGCGGCAGAACCGCACGCCGCAGCAGCAGAGTACACCCGGGCAGCACCCGCCGCGCGAGCAGAAGCAGGACACCCGCGGCAGCACCCCGCCGCTAGAGCAGCAGGACACCCGGGCAGCACCGCCGAGGCCGCCCCGCAGCAGAAGGAACCCGCGGCCGCACCCAGCCGCCGCCGCCGGGCGCAGCAGCAGTCAGACCGCGGCAGCACCGCCGCCGCCGGCCGCGCCGCTAGCAGGAAACCCGCTCAGCAACATGCCGCCGGGACAGCAGCAGGGACACCCGGGCAGCACCGCCGCCCGCCAGCAGCACAGGAAAACGCGGCACGACCGGCCGCGCAGCAGCAGGAAACCAAGCAGCACCGCAGCCGGAGCGAGTACCCGCGGCAGCACCGCCGTCGCCGAGCCGCAGCAGGACACCGGGGCAGCACCGCCGCCGCGCAGCAGCAGGACACCAGCGGCAGGACAGGCGCCGCCGCAGGAAGGCCCGCGGCAGACCGCGCGCAGAAGGCAGCAGGGACACCCGCGGCAGCACCGCCGCAGCCGCAGGACAACAGCGGCACACCGCGCCGAAGAAGCTAGGAGGACCCGCTGCAGCACAGCCTGCCCAGCAGCAGCACCAGACGACCCGCGGCAGCCCCGCCGCCGCCGCAGGCAGCAGCAGGACCCGGAGGGCAGCACCGCAACGCTCAGCAGCAGAGGACACCCGCGGCAGCACGCAGCCGCCGCAGGACACCAGCGGCACACCGCCGCAGCACAGAGGACCACCCGCGGCAAAAAGGGGCCCAAAAAACCGGTGGGGCCGTGCAGCAGCAGCAGGAAACCCGCGGCAGCACCGCCGCCGCAGAGCAGGACACCCGCGGCAAGCACCGCCGCGCCGCAGTACCGCAGACGCAGCAGACATCCGCGGCAGCACCTCCGCCGCAGCAGCAGTAGACCTCGCAGCAGCAACAACCGCCGCAGGCAGCAGAGGAAACCGGCGGAGCACACGGCCGCCGCAGGACAACCCGCGGCAGCACCGCCGAAGCCAGCAGGGAAGGCAGGTACAACCGAGGCAGCACAACTCGAGTACACCCGGGGCAGAACCTCAGCCGCAGCAGCAGACAGGACACCCGCGTGCAGCAAAGCGAAGATCAGCAGGCATGACACCGAGGCGCAAAACATAGAATAATAATAATGAAACAAATGCAGCACAGAATAATCATCAGTTACAACTCAGGCATCAAATCAGCACTCAGAATCATCGATACACCCCTGTCATCACCTCCTCTCACCATTACACCCTTTCATCAACTCTCCTCATAATCATCATTACATCTCTTCATCACTCGTCCTCCTCCCCCTAATCATTACACCTCTTACATACTTCCTCACTCAATCCCTATCATTAGACTCTTCATCACGGTACTCCTCCTCATCATCATAATTACTACTATTCATCACCTCGTCATCCGCCCACTAATCATTACACCTTCTTCATTAAATTTCCCCTCCTCATCTCATACACAATATTCACTACCCCCTCCTCCCCCTCCACACCTCCTCCTCCTCATCATTACGCCATCTTCATCACATCCTCCTCTTCATCACCTCCTTCTTCCCCTCACCCTCATATCACCTTCTTCTTACATCCTCCTCATCATCATCATCCTCAGTAGTGCATTTTATCTACCTGCTAAGTTAGCCTATAACTGGATGGCACAGGAGGCTGCTGAGGGGAGAACGGGCTCATAATAATGGCCGGAACAGAGCAAATGGAAACCATGTGTTTGATACCATTCCACCTATTCCGCTCCAGCCATTACCACGAGTCCGTCCTCCCCAATTATGGTGCCACCAACCTCCTGTGCTATGGTCAGTGTACGTATAAGACATGATGAGCTGGTTGTGTTTACCTGGTTGGAATTTTGACCCTGAGATAGCGGTCAATAGCAATGGCCAGGAGGGCTAGGATGGAACTTTGCGTCAGCACCAGCACCGTGCACGCGACCATCAGGCAGCTGTAGAAGTGAGTTTGGAGTCCGATGCTGATAGTTATCGCCAAGGGGATGACGAGGGCTCCCACTGCGATATCCGCCAGTGCCAGAGAAACGATGAAACAGAATGTTGTGTCTCTCAACGACTTGTTAATTTTCACAGCCCAGACCACCATCACATTACCCAGGACGGAGAAGACGGCAATCACCACCTCCATGCCGATGTAGAGCGCCTGGAGTGCTTCAGGCATCCTTACAGCCTATTATAGTCCAAATGAGATAGAACTAGGTATTATTCCAACAAAAGCAAGCTCGGAAAGCCTACAAAATAATCATTTGAATAGGGTTACACTCCTAGAGTGCAAATGGGTTTGTGCGTTGTTCGTCCATTCAACGTCCGTTCTACAGTGGCCACATCACTTGGATTATTCTATTTCCACAATACTGAAGTTCTGATACACATCCAGTTTGTGAAGAGATTTAGCATCATATGGACCCCAAAAAGCAGATCTAGGAATGAATGGTTAGGCCTATAATTTGAAGATGTAGCAGACTAGTAGTTCCGAGGTTGTTGTCGCGCGCTGCTGATCCTGTCCTCGTCCAATACCCTGTTCCACCACTTCGCCGGATCCACCTGCGCTCCGGGAAGGGACCCGTCCGCCCAGTATTGTTTATTATTTAGCCCCGGTAATCACTTCAACATCTTCTTCTTAGCCTATTTTATCCACGGTTTCTCAGTTGCCAGTTGAAAAGCATCACTTCGAGAATAAAAAAAAATCGTCCTGGAAAGTATTTAGTGAACGAAGCACACCCACTGAGCACATTGTTTCCACGCAATGAAATTACTTTGAACCAACTTGAAATAGATGTTGAATTGACGTCTGTGCCCCGTGGGCAGAGGTTTCGTTCTGTGCTAGGCGGTAGCTCAAATAAAATGCAATCGGGCGCCCGTGCTCTTCCGCCGTGCTCTTTCCGGTTGTGCTTTGTGAGTCAAAGCACTTGCGCTTGGCTCTCGAGCTCCTTTGTTTTGGTCCCACACTCTATTGCCCCTTCTCTGTTTCATTAGGCTATTCTCGGATTTCACCTTCTCTGTTTCATTAGGCTGTTCTCGGATTTCACCTTCTCTGTTTCATTAGGCTGTTCTCGGATTTCACCTTCTCTGTTTCATTAGGCTGTTCTAGGATTTCACCTTCTCTGTTTCATTAGGCTGTTCTCGGATTTCACCTTCTCTGTTTCATTAGGCTGTTCTAGGATTTCACCTTCTCTGTTTCATTAGGCTATTCTCGGATTTCACCTTCTCTGTTTCATTAGGCTATTCTCTGATTTCCTCTTCTTTGTTTCATTAGGCTATTCTCTGATTTCACCTTCTCTGTTTCATTAGGCTATTCTCTGATTTCCCCTTCTCTGTTTCATTAGGCTATTCTCGGATTTTCACCTTCTCTGTTTCATTAGGCTATTCTCGGATTTCACCTTCTCTGTTTCATTAGGCTATTCTCGGATTTCACCTTCTCTGTTTCATTCTCGGATTTCACCTTCTCTGTTTCATTAGGCTATTCTCTGATTTCACCTTCTCTGTTTCATTAGGCTATTCTCTGATTTCACCTTCTCTGTTTCATTAGGCTATTCTTTGATTTCCCCTTCTCTGTTTCATTAGGCTATTCTCTGATTTCACCTTCTCTGTTTCATTAGGCTATTCTCGGATTTCACTTTCTCTGTTTCATTAGGCTATTCTCGGATTTCACTTTCTCTGTTTCATTAGGCTATTCTCGGATTTCACCTTCTCTGTTTCATTAGGCTATTCTCGGATTTCACTTTCTCTGTTTCATTAGGCTATTCTCGGATTTCACCTTCTCTGTTTCATTAGGCTATTCTTTGATTTCCCCTTCTCTGTTTCATTAGGCTATTCTTTGATTTCCCCTTCTCTGTTTCATTAGGCTATTCTCAGAATTTCACCTTATCTGTTTCATTAGGCTATTCTCGGATTTCAAACGGTTCTTTTGAAACCAATTGTCATTGCCATAATTTCAACTCTGTGAATTTTCATTGAAGTTGCGTCCGTCTTGTTTCTTCCAATGGAGAGAGAAATGAGGGAGAAAACGGTTGTGCTGTGCTGCAATGGCCGTCCCAGAGACGTCTCTCTCTCAATGGCCGTCCCAGAGACGTCTCTCTCTCAATGGCCGTCCCAGAGACGTCTCTCTCTCAATGGCCGTCCCAGAGACGTCTCTCTCTCAATGGCCGTCCCAGAGACGTCTCTCTCTCAATGGCCGTCCCAGAGACGTCTCTCTCTCAATGGCCGTCCCAGAGACGTCTCTCTCGCTATGGCCGTCCCAGAGACGTCTCTCTCTCAATGGCCGTCCCAGAGACGTCTCTCTCGCTATGGCCGTCCCAGAGACGTCTCTCTCTCAATGGCCGTCCCAGAGACGTCTCTCTCTCAATGGCCGTCCCAGAGACGTCTCTCTCTCAATGGCCGTCCCAGAGACGTCTCTCTCTCAATGGCCGTCCCAGAGACGTCTCTCTCTCAATGGCCGTCCCAGAGACGTCTCTCTCTCAATGGCCGTCCCAGAGACGTCTCTCTCTCAATGGCCGTCCCAGAGACGTCTCTCTCTCAATGGCCGTCCCAGAGACATCTCTCTCTTTGTGCCAACGGGCGAATGGGGATTGAACTCTCTCTCTCTCTGATCTATCTAGTAGGCTTACTCCTAGGATACCCTAGACTATTTATTTGGAATGTAATTGTTCTCACTTCTAACCCCTACTGGCCCGGTGTCAATTCCATTGTGCAAAACGTTACTCAACAATTGCACGGGTGTCTCGGGCACAGCTCATTGATTACTCCGCTGTGACAAGGTGGTGAGCGGTTCAAGTCAAATCACTCGGAAAGGACACTTCCAATAGGAAAGAATGGGTGAGAGAAAAAGAAAAGGGGGTTTTATGCAGTAGACTGCAAACCACTACAGTCAGTGTTAGAAGTCTGTAATAATAGTGGTACTACTATATATATACTACTATATATATACTACTATATATATATATACTACTACTACTACTACTACTACTACTTATTGTTAGTTTGTTTCTGTTTTTCTTTTTGGATCCATATTGGCTCTTCTAGAGGCAACAGGTACTCTTCCTGGGGTACACTACAGTAGACTACTTTTATAACAGCTGTATTTAGATTTTATGACACTAATAATTATATTTCCAGAATAGAGTACAGAACTGTAAGCCCAATTATATTGATTTAATGGTTTTAAAATGTCATTACAAATGCCTTTATGGATGCAATTAAAAAAAAAAAAACTGTGTCCATCCTTGCCCTTTAGAAATTATCCATTATTTTGAATCGAATGAAACTAAGTTCATTTCTCTATATACGTGATAATCAGAAATCAATACTGATTTTAAAACGGGTCATTAACTTTCAGACAAATTAAGTGTGTCCAGTGTAGGATCAATGGTCCTAGGATCAATTTCTATATACAAAGGCCTTCTCGCTCAGTTCGTGCCCCAAATGGCACCCTTTTCCTTAGTTCACTCCTTTAGGCCGTGGTCAAAAGGTAGTGCACTAACTAGGGAATAGGGTGCCATTTGGGGACGAAGACCCTGTCTTCTGTCTGTGTTAAAGCAGCCTCCGTGGAACACTCAGCAATGTGAGGGCTGGGATCACCAGTGAGTGAGTGACAGCTCTTGTCATGTCTCTGGTTCAAAGGTGGAGAGAGAGGGGCAGGGGAAGAGTATACCGAAGAAGATAGAGATAAAGAGAGAGCGTGTTGGAAAAGAGAGATTTGGGGGGAGGAAGGTTTGGGTGGCCAGCTCTCCGTGTCGGCCCGCGTCGGGTCGCCGCTCCCGCGTTCCCTTCCCTCCCCTCCCCTCTCTCGCTGTCTCCCCTCGCTTCCCCGCGCCTCTCTTTTCCTCCCTCTCGCCTTATCCCCGCGTGGCAATCCGATGGTCCCCCGCCTGTTCTCTGACCCCTCACTTACCTAAAATGGACTAGGCAGAGCCAGGCAACTGGAGGGCTATAGGGCAGGGAGCAGGGCAGGGGGAGCTAGGGGGTTTGGGCAGGGAGCTAGGTTAGGCAGGGGCTAGGGGCAGGGCTAGGTTAGGGCAGGGAGCTAGGGGCAGCGCCGGTTAGGGCAGGGAGCGAGGTTAGGGCAGGGAGCTAGTTAGGGCAGGGAGCTGGGTTTAGGGCAGGGAGTAGGTAGGTAGGGCAGGGAGTAGGTTAGGGCAGGGAGCTAGGTTTAGGGCAGGGACGCTAGGGCAGGGAGCTAGGTTAGGGCAGGGAAGATACGTTAGGGGCAGGGGAGCTAGGTTACGGCAGGGAGCTAGATTAGGGCAGGAGCTCGGTTAGGCAGGGAGCTAGGGTTAGGGCAGGGAGATAGTTAGGGCAGGGAGCTAGGGCAGGGAGTTTAGGGAAGGGAGCTAGGTTAGGGCGGGAGCTGTGTTAGGGCAGGGAGCTGGGGTTAGGGCAGGAGCTAGGTTAGGCAGGGAGCTAGGTTAGGGCAGGGAGCTAGGTTAGGGTAGGGAGTGGGTTAGGGCAGGGAGCTAGGTTAGGGCAGGGAGCTAGTTAGGGAAGGGAGCTAGGTTAGGGCAGGGAGCTAGGTTAGGGGTCGGGAGCTGGGTTAGGCAGGGCGCTAGGGTTAGCGGCATGGGAGCTCGTGTTCGGGCAGGGAGCTAGGTTAGGGCGGGAAGCTCGGTTAGGGCAGGGCGCCTGGTTAGGGCAGGGAGCTAGGTTAGGGCAGGGAGCTGGGTTTAGGGCAGGGCTAGGTTAGGCGGGGTTTAGGGCAGGGAGCTAGGTTAGGGCAGGGAGCTAGGTTAGGGCAGGGAGCTAGGTTAGGGCAGGGAGCTAGGTTAGGGCAGGGAGCTAGGTTAGGGCAGGGAGCTAGGTTAGGGCAGGGAGCTAGGTTAGGGCAGGGAGCTAGGTTAGGGCATTAAGCTAGGTTAGGGCATTAAGCTAGGTTAGGGCAAGGAGCACCATTGTATTTACAATGGTGTTTGTTCTTCACTGGTTGTGTCACACCCTGGCTCTGGGACTCATTATGTTGAGCCAGGGTGTGTTCATTCTATGTGTTCTGTTTCTATGTTGGGTGTTCTAGGTTGTTTATTTCTATGTTTGACTGAGTGACTCCCAATCAGAGGCAACGAGTGTCAGCTGTGTGCTGGTTGTCTCTGATTGGGAGCCATATTTAACTGTCTGTGTTTCACTTTGTGTTTGTGGGTTTTTGTTCCGTGTTCGGTCATTGTCACTGAGGAC